TGGGGAAGGTAAGAAATTTAATCCTTTTTCTTGGGGAACAGCCCATTTTCCCATTCTCTACGGTTGTGTTGCTATATAAATGATTATAACTTGCCACTGAAGTAGGGGCTGTTTGGACAGCCCTGCTCGTTCCTTTCTTTGGTGGGCTGCAGAGAAGTGAGGCTTGCTGCAAGCTGGCAGGGCTTGCTGCTGGTACTCCCTGTGTGTGCTTGTTTGGTGTGAGGTCCTTTTCCTATTACCTCTGCTCTGGGAGTTGTGGGTATTCTGTCTGGGATTAGCAAGTATTTGGAAACCATAATATCTTTGCCTTTGGTAGAAGGTGAGGAAGAGGAGGATGATGACGAGGAAGATGACTTGGATGAAGAAGTCATCGATGAAGAAGATGATGAAGATGATGATCTGGAAGGTGAAGAGGAGGAGGATGGAGTAGATGATGAGGTGAGGCTTTCTGTCATTACTGTATGTCTTCAGCAGCATTTTGGCTTGCTTTACAGTGTGTTTGTATGTTGTGACCCATCAGACCAGGTGTCACAGGTGCCTGTTTGTGGGCAGATTCAAGGGGTCCTACCCTGGGCTTTGGCTTTTCCCATCCAGAAAATTCTTACTCCATCAGAGTTTTCTGGTTCAGTAATTTTCTATTTGGACTGATGTTTCTGTATCAGTTGTCAAGCCATAAAGCCATACATGTAAACTCTTAACAAGTGCTGTTACAGAAAGAGGAGCTTCTCCATGCTCAGCTTGTACCTGGCACCCTAAGTAAGGCAGGAGCAGAGTTGAAGGAAAAGCATTGTGGTTTGTGTAACATGGTGTCTTGTTTTGATTCTAGGAGGAAGATGAGGAGGAAGATGGTGAGGATGAAGAAGATGATGAAGCTGATGATGGTAAGTTGAATTCTAATAACCTATGTGCCTTGCAAAGCTGTCTTGACAGTCTTGGCATGTTTGCTCTATTCTTAGAGCTTCCCAAGCTTCTGTGCCTTGTTGCCTTCAGCTTTCCCATGACAATGCAGCGTTCCTCCTTGGAGGCACTGCTAAGCTGTTGCTTGTGTCTCAGCTAACTATAAAATAGTGGCTAAAACCTGAGAGTTAGGTAGTAGTGATGGGGAAATAAGTTTCAGTGCCTGTTAATGCCTATCAAGCTGGGTAGACCGGCCAAATATTAGGGGTAGATTGCCTAGTGAACCTGTCTAAGTAGCTTGAACTGATGGCTCTTGCCAGACTGGTGCTTCTGTCATAGACTCTCTTGTTAGCAGTCTCTGTGAGAGGAGCTCCTCTCTCCTGTCAGCTGTAGAGAGGGGTATAGACCTGAGCTTGACTTGAGCCCAGACTCCTCTGGTTGTAAGCACCCAAACACACTGACAGAGTGTGGTGGCTGACATGACTTTAAATGTTCTTTCTTGAGTTCTGTCAGAAATGACTGAACTGTATAGTCGAGCTTTTGGTACTGCTCAACAAAAAGCCTGCTTTGGAGCACTTGATGCAATGTAGGATGCTTGGAGGCCATAAAAATTGTTACTGCTGCTTCTGAGTCCGTGCTTTTTGGGTAGCATGAGAAACTGAGCTGGGTGGATCTCATACGTCATGGTGAGAGTCTAGTCTGTGCTTGCTCACTGGCAAGCTGTGGCTGCTGAGGCTTGTAGCTGCAATTCAAGTGCTGTTCCTCAAGACTGAACAGAACTTCATGCTTCACCTCTGTTTGCAGACCTTCCACGGGGGGAGAAGAGAAAACGAAATCTAGAGGATGAAGGAGAGGAAGACCCAGAAGACGAAGAGGATGATGAGGATGACTGATCCCAGCGAGCCAATCAGTTTTACAGACTATGACTGTGCTTGTCTTAACCTCCCCGTTGTGTCTATGTGAGACTGTAAATCCCCATCTCCCACTCCTCCTCCCCTTTGTATGGCTGCAGCGTCCACAATATATTTTTTTAAGATGTAGAATACTGTAGGCATTCAGGGGAATCTTCCATACAAGGCTCTCTTTCTCACAAGTATCTCATGACCAAAGGCTTTCTCCGTTCTGTGGTTTGTGCAGCAGTTTGCAAAAAAAAAAAAAAAGAAAAAAAAAAAAAAAAAGAAAAAAAAAAAAAAGAAAAAAAAAGAAAAAGAAAAAAATTTCCTCCTAGGGTATCTTTGGTGTCTGAAATCAGCCTTGCCACACTGGACCCAGAGCTCCAGCCTGCCACCCTGCCTGACAACCAAGAAGGTGTTTGCTATCTGCATGCCCTCAGACCTGCTTTCTGAAGACACTCGAGCCATCTTGAGCAGTGGGTGCAAATCTGGTTCATCTGAATGGACTCTTAAGCAACTGATCACTGAGGTCTCTCTGATCAGAAATAATGGTGATGTGATCTCTGGATATGCTTGAAGATACTTTAGTGCTGGGATTGTGGGGTGCCTGGGGTCTTGGGCGGGGGGTTGACTGCTTGCAAGACCTGGTACCTCTGGTGAAGCACCTTGCAGTAGCCCTGTACTTGCTTTCCTACTTTTTATAAACTGGAATGTCTTTTTTTTTCCTGATTGCCACCTAATAACTTTGACTTGGATGCCCAAGTAGTGCTGGTTTATGGTCCCGAACATCTGCTGTGCTGAGGCATGTCATCGTTCTAGCAGCCTGTGCTTTGGGAAGAGATAGGAAATAGCAGGTTTAGGGATACTGCACTTCTGTCAAACTCCATTTCGCACTGTACAGAACACGTTCAACCAGTATCACTGTGATGCACCTAACTCGGCGTTCCCCAGGAGACCGTGTTAGCCTATATATTCTCAGGGTCCTTCTGCTAGCCAGTAACAGCTCTGGACAGTTGCCTGGTGTGCGTCCTCCTCCTTTTTCCTTTTCAACATGAAGAGAAGTCCATTGATCAGAAATCCAGCTTGCTCCCATTCATGCTATTCACGTGCTGCAGGAGCAGCCATGGGGCATGTCTCCCTCTGACCTGGAGTGGCTGGAGCAGGGAAGGGGGGAATTGGACCAGGGCTAGCTCTCCACCGCAGGGTTTCTGGCCTCTGACCCTTCTTTCCTTTGCCACGACGTGTTCAGATGGCACAGCTGATAGCTTCTGGAGAAACCTGGCCCTGTGGCCTGCAGGGGTGGGGAACTGTTGGGTGCTGGGTGCCTGCGTTTGGGGACAGAGGGAGCAACACGGTGCTGGGAGCATCCCACTGCTGCGGGGGCACTGGCACTTTGCAGAGCTCTGCTCGGTGCTCCAGGCGATGCTTTGGCTCCCGGTGCCTGGAGATGAGGCTCACAGAGTTCCTTCAGGAGTGGTGTGTGTTTGCAGCACATCGGAGTTTCTGTTGCTTTGTTCTGTTCTTGCCGTTGTCTCTTGCATTGTACAGTAGCTGTAACCATTCAGAGAAGAACTACTCCTGTAAAATGCAAACTGAGTAACTTATAAATGTTAAAGGAATTTTAAAAAGGAAAAAAAAAAAAAAATCAGAGCAGCAGTTACTTCTAATTTTTTTCCCTGCATTTTTAGCAGATTGTATGGATTTTATAATAGCCTAGTCACTGTCAGGTTTCGATTGGTCAGACTAGTCCCAGGAATAAGGATCTCCAGCCCTTTTGTATCTTTTGTTACAAAATTTGGATAAAACTTTTAATAAAGACTTCAGTTTTTAAAAATCCATTGCAATGAATGTCGTCTTCACTGCCTCTGCTCTAGGAACACCAGAGCTGCCAGCAGCCCACGGAGCCCTGGCTTGGAAGTTCTGGGGCAGTTTTTCTTGAGCAGCTGGATCCTCTCCCACAGCAGTGATGGCTCTGCTCACCTTTCCATGCCCTTTTTTTTTTTAATTTGTGGAGGATTCTTGGTAAGTGAAGCTTGTCTGTTATCATTGGGGTGGGGACGGAGGGCTTGGATGGGAAACGTGCTGGGGAAGCCATGCAGGATGTGTCTGTGGGGTTTGTATGGTTGTATGGCAGCTCTGTTGTGGGTTGCTCCTGTGAATTGCCAGCACCAGGTTCATGGGGAGCTGTGGGGCTGCTGAAGGACAGGTAGGTGTGTATCTGCTTTTCTATCTGTAGGAAAAGTCTGCGGTGAAATGTTGAGAAGTGCATGAGAACGGCTTCGACTCTGCTGGGAGGCCCTGCTGAGGACAGTGATACAGCTTAAGGGTGGAGAGGGGTGAACAGCCCCAGTGTTGGTACACCCCAAAGGCAACGCTGGAGTGGGGGTTGGGTGTTGGGACCTGAACCCAGGCAAGGTTGGAGGGCTTTGGAGGACTCAGAAAGGTGAGCTGTGCCCCCTCCCTGAGGGTTTAAGGTGCCTGTAGGGCTGCGTGGTCCTGGTGAGCTGTGACTGCCAGTTCTGTGTGGGCTCTTTGCAGGGTGGTTGTGCCCAGGGCGTTGCTCTGTGGCCAGCCCAGGGGCTGGTGAGGATTTGTGCAGCCTCACTGTTGCTGCTGAGTGTTCAATCCCCAGCAGGAGTGGCTGGGGCTGCTCCCTGTGCTCACCTTCCCCTATACACAAAGCTGGGCATGCTGGAGCTGTGGCTGCAGGGCTGCATGGAGGGAGCTGAGAGCATGCAGCCCCCTCAAGATCTGTGTTATGGTGTCGGTGTTGGGAAAAGAGCAGCTTCAGCTCTGCTGCAGGAATCCTGCAGTGCATCCCCTCCAGCTGCTATGAGCGATACACATGGAATGAGTAGTAGAGTAGCTCTCAGCTACTGCTTGCAGCAAATCCATCTTCCAGCCAAAGAAAATAAAAGCTCCAGGTGCTGCAGCACAGGGGGCAAAGCCTGAGCTCCCAATAGGGCAGCAGGACGACGGGGGCTGCACCTGGATGATACTGGCCTCCTCCCTATGGAGTTTGTTGTAAATGCTGTGTCTCCTTCAAACCCACCCTTTCCACACCCTTCCCATGGTGGGATCCCCTGCTGTTCAATGCAGAGCCCCTGCTGCCCCACCTGCCCCCTCTCTGGGGTGGAGGGGCAGCTCCTTAGGGCTGGCACAGCTCCTTGTTGCCCCCCACAGAGGCTCTCCCAGCCATTCCTCCTGTACAATTCCTATTTATTAATTTCCAGACCTTGTTCCTGAGCATCCATTGGGCTCCCCCCAACCTCTCACCCCCTCCTCGCAGGCTGGAGCAATAGAACTTCTAGGGAAGGGAGGGACACGAGGGCTCCTAGGGGGCTTAGCATTTCAAAAATAAAAGACAGACTCAAAAAAAAAAAAAAAAGAACACCAATTGCCACCCTCCTCTGGCAGCCCATGGTGGGGGATGCTCCCAGGGTCCCAGTGCTGAGGCGTGGAGCATGCGGTGCCCTCAGTTCAGCAGGAGCAGAGCTCCTCAGAGCTGCGAGTATAGGGAGTTCTCCATCTCTGGCGTCAGCTTCGAGTGGAAGGAGGCGATGCTCACCCCAAAATCTGCAGGGAGAAGGAAGAGAGCCGTCAGGTGTGGGGGCTGAGCTGCACGGGTTGCTTTGGGGGTATGCTGTGGCCTGGAAGCATGCTGGGATGCTATCGTGAGGACAGCAGTGGGGTTGATCCACATTAACACCTTCTTCCTCCAAACCACACCCTCTGAGAGCCCCCTTAGGGACCGAAGGGAAAGAAGGGGATGCTCATGCTCAATCCCATTCAAAGAGAGCACCTGGGGTCCCCCATAGGCCCCTTCCCAAGGCCATACCCACGTCTGTGTCCATGCGCCCAGCTGGTGCTGGGTTCTTGCGGTGCTCCTCGATGTGCAGAGTCATCTCCTCCCGCGAGGCAGTGGAGTAGGGGCACTGCATGCAGGTGTAGCGGCCCCGCGTGTGCTCCCACACGATCCGGCTATTGGAGGAGTGCCCTGCAAGGACAGGTGAAGGAGGGAAGCACAGAGCCTGCTGGCAGCACCCGTGGGCACGAATGGGGTAGAAGCTCCCCGTTCTGAGCACTGCAATATGAACGGGTCACAGATCTGGGGGAGACCCCACAGCAAGAGGGGTCCCAAACCTAAAAGCGGAGTTGGCCATGGGTGTTGCGTGGAGCTGTGCCATGGAGCTGCAGGGCAGGAGAACCCCACTCCAAGGAGGTACCCCAAATCTGGGAGAGCCCCCTGCATCTAGAGGGGGGACCCCAAATCTTGGAGCATAGCTGGCCATGAGTATTACATGGACCTGTGGGGTGGGAGTTTTCCACGCTGAGCCCTGCAATATGCATAAGTCCCCTCTCTGTTGGAGGGACTCCAAATCCTGGAGAGGCCCCCAGATCTAAGAGCAGAGCTGGCTATGGGCATCACATGAAACAGTGTCCCTTGGCCATGGCTGCTGGAAAAATGGGGGGGGTTTGAGTCCAAGCAACTGCTGCACCCCCTCTTGGTGGTGCTACTGCTGAACCCAAGCTTAGCAGATTCTGGTGTGGGGGGGGCATGATGCAGACAGCAACAACCCCCCCTACCTGGGCAGCATCCCCTCTGCACAGGGCTCCCCAGAATGAGGGTGCTTTCCCTCCCCATTGTGCTCGGGGAGCTCTCCCCTCCCCTAGAGTCCCCCCCTACACCTCCCCCCGCCCCCCCAGTGACAAAGCAGCCCCCAACCAGTCGGTGCCGAACTAACCTGGAGTCACTCCTGAGCCAAAGCATGGGAGGAGTGGGCTGACACTCACACCTGCGGAGGGAATCGAGGGGCGAGACAAGCATTAGGCCTTCCCCTCCCTGGGTGGGGGGGGGACGTGGGGGGCAGGCCTGGCACCCCAGCATGCGGGGGAGCAGCAGGGCTGAGCCAATTTAGAGGATTTTGGCGATCGCTTTCATTGTTTTTCTTTCCCAATTTGGTGGGGGGAGGCGGGGAACGGCGGTGGGATGAGGCAGAGGGCGGTGGAGGTGGGCAGCTCCAGGCTGTGGGCTACGGGGTGAAGGGGGGATCCTCGCTGGCCGTCGTGCTGTCCTGGTCCAAGAGCAGAAGAAGCACTGCCCTAAGGGCCGTCTGTGCTCACCTTGGCTCTTCTTCCAGACGGCGTTGGAGGCTGACGGGCCATGGCTGGGCGAGCAGGGCCGCAGGCGGGGCTGGGCTGTGGGCAGGCTGAAGGGCACCGGGGGGTGCATGTAGGAGAGGAACGGCACCGAGGAAGGGGGAGGAGGAGGAGGAGGCCCCGAGAAGCGAGTCAAGGTCGGTGGGCCAAACAGGTTGGGTTCCAGCAGCGGGAAGGGATGCGGGGCCGGCGGGACGAGCGGCAGCGCTTCCAGCGAGCCGGGCAGGTCGGGCAGGCTGGAGGCCGTGTCTGTGCCAGGCGCTGTGGTGATGGCTTCTTTCTCCGTGTGCCGGATGACGGTGGGAGGCTTGGGCAGCCCCTCGGGGAGTGGTTTGGCTGTGGGTTCCTTCTCTTGGGTGGAGGCGGTGGGCAGGGTGGGCTTCTCGGCCTTTTGGGGCGGCGGTGCAGGGCTGCTGGCGCGGTCGGAGCAGACATGGAGGTGCTTGAAGAGGGAGCGGTGGGTGCGGAAGCGCAGCAGGCAGTTCTCACATCTGTGGGGCCACAGGCAGTGTCAGGTCTGGGGCAGTCAGTCCTCCTGTGGTCACTTTGGGGCACACAGACTCCCCCCCCCGACCTAGGGTCTGCCCTGTTACGTTGGGGTACTGGGTGGCCTCAAATGAGGCATGGGATGGGGCTGTGTGTACATGGGATGGATCCATAAAGAGACATGGGGTGGGGACAGGAACAAGAAGGGGATAGGGACAAATGGGAGACAAGGACAAGTGGGGGGGACCAGGACTCACTTGAAGTAGCGGTTAGGTTTGTAGTGCACTTTCATGTGGGTCATGAGGTCCTGCATGCTGGGGAAGGTCTCTGTGCAGCCCAGCGTGGGGCACTGGAAAGTTTTGCCTGCAAAAAAAGAGATGGGGCTGAGTCAACACTGTCCTGGCTGCACTGTGCTCCTGGGTGAGAATCCTGGTGTTGTCCCCATCCCTTTCCATGCTGTGCCACCACTGTGACCCCCATACCCCCCTCTGGGCTCCACGAGCACTATTTGTGCACCACATGGCATCCCCATCTTGCCATCCCCTTACCCTCAAGGGACTGCGTGGGTCTGTAGTGCACCTTCAGGTGGTCCATCAGCTCTTGCATGCTGGGGAAAGCCAATTTGCAGCCATAGCTGGAGCAGGCGTAGTGCTTCCCTGCAAGAAGACACCTCTATTGGCCTCATCCCCTATCCCTACTCACCCACAGATCAGCAGGGTGGGTGATGCACTCAGCTCACCTGGGGCTGGACGGCGCTTTAGGAGCCGCAGGTCCTGTGCTGGGGGGGCTCCTCCACTCCCCAGTGCTGTCATGGGGCCTGCAGGGAAGAGGTTGTAGGGTCAGTGCTCTGTGCAGCCATCATGATCCCAAACCCTCAACCCTCCCCTGGCTATGGAGCAGAGCGTGATCTGGGGTGGGGTTGGGGCCATAGCTCTATGCCTACAATGGGATTTCTGGTGTCCCCTAGTGTCACACCCCTCAGACAGCAGCCTGCCCCACACCATCCCAGGGACTCACCTGCTCCCTCCCCAACGTATTTCCCCCCCAGGGAGAAGTTGGGCAGAGTTTCATCCTTCTCCGTCTTCATGGTCGCTGCAGGTCACGGGGCTCTCCTCTTCTTCGTGGTGCTGCACCCAACCAAGGAGCAGGGGTTAATGCTCAGCACAGAGCAACTGCTCTTCTCTGGGTGTTAAAGCCAACACCCTCCCTCCTCACCTCTCCCACCCCACACATGGTCCCCAAAGCAAGCAAGCATCACTTCCTCTGCCACATGCCATGGGGCACAGCCCCACACATCACCAGCTTGTAGGATCAGGTGCAGCACAGCATCCATAGGCAAATCCTACCCTGGACCCACAGGACCCCCCCCCTTTCCCCCAAGTGACACAGTAATGGAAGCATTTCCTCAGCTTTTCAGGGGAAAATCAGCTTAAAACACATGGTTTTGGGGTGCTGTGGGATTGCAAGCTGTAATGAGAAGCACAGCCTGGATGGATAGGGGAGGGGGGGGGCTGTCTCAGCACATGGGGTGACACTGAAAGGTGTTGCTGGGGTTGGTGATGGAGTCCTCAAGCAGTATCCATTCCAGGGGCTGGCAGCCCCCATACACCACAGGTTCCAATGAATTTCCTGATTTCTTGAAAAAACAAACTTGGAAAAATTGCCTTTTTGGTGTCCTGCTCCCTTATGTCCTCATCTGGAGTGGGCTGGCACTGGGACCAAATGATGCTATTGGGGATGGTGGCATTGGGTTTCCAGTGAGGTGGTGGTTTATGATGATCCCAGGGATAGGTAGGATCAAGAAACAGTGTAGGAACATCACTGCTCCAGGAACAGTGAGGAGCTGCATGGACAAAGCATGCTTGGCCCTGCAAACCCCAGCTTTGGGGGAGGTGGTGGCACCTGCACCGTTCTGCTGCCATTTGTCATCTCTAGCAGGACAGCATCCTTCTGCAACACTGAGCAAAGGGCTGTAAGCCAACGTTCCCATCCCCAGGAGATGTCACCCCCCAACCCCAGAGCAAACCCTGCCTTGGAAACCCAAATCCTGGAGCTACTGCACCCTCATTGCATGCTTCTCACAGCATTTTCCTGCAAATCCAATGGCACTGCTGTGCTGAGTGGGGATCCTACTTCTGGGGTCCGAGGGGTTTGCAGCCTTCGGTCACCCAGAGCAGCTTTGGGACTGATTCTATTAATAATGAACACAGCTCATCTCCCTCAAGCAAACCAGAGGATGATTTAAAGACATTCACAGATCCACTCCGGGAGGAGAAATGGGACCGATAATCCCATCCAAGCATCTCTGTGATCAGCAGCTCAGAGGCTTGGGAGATGAGAGACAAAGGCTGGCTCATGGGACCGCCCCTGGGAGGTGACAGCCAAGCAGGGACCCTGGCTCTGCCTTTACACCCCCCTCCCATCTTTACCCCATGGAGGAGGATGCGGGGTCACCCCAGGGATGCTCAGGGTGCCAACATGTCCTGGTACTCCCAAACTCACATGCTATGCATGGGGAGCTCCTATCTGCTCACCCCATGGCTACTAGCCCTATGGCTGGCACCTCCTGCTAGCAGCACCCTGTGGCTGATGGCCCCTATAGATAATACACCCATGGCTACCAACACCCGTGGCTGGTAGCCCACCCCTGCTAACAGCCCCTTTCTATTACTGACAGCCCTCCAGCAACAACAATACACCACGGCTAGCAGCCTCTATGTCTCACAGCCCCCCATGCTAACAGCCCCCTAACCATGCACCCATGGCTACCATCCCCATCTACCAGTAGCACCCCATCTATCCCCTCCCCCCCTCGCTAACAGCCCCTTTGTCTTACCAACAGCCCCCCAACAACAATACACCACTGCTACCACCCCCCCCTATGGCCGGCAGCCCCCTGCTAACACTCCCTTTGTATTACTGACAGCCCCCCAACAACACACAAT